CCCACTGCCAGCGGTGACCTCTAGTGAGTGACATTCACATCGGTCGGAAAAATTCGATTAAATTATAAGCTCAAACCAGATATACATAACCAGGCCATATAGGGAAACTAGAGTGCGATCTGTGTGTGTAGAGTGCGGCGGTGGGGAGAACTTCGGAGCCAATCTCATGGAGGTTCTGGCCCGGCTTTCCTTGAGGCCACTTGGGGCCACCGTCCATCTGCGAATCCCCAGCCGCATTGTGCAAGAGAAGTCCAAGTCGACATCAGACGGCAGAAATGTCAATTGCCATCGGTTGCCTGCTTAGGGGAAAACAATCATCGATAGTTTAGCTGGCCCATTCAGCAATTGGCCAAATGAATGGCTTTTTTGCCGAAACCCGATCATTAGCAGCGATCGCATAAACGACATCGCTCATACGCCTTGCGGCAGCCGAATAATTGTACCCGCTTTGTAGTCTCGGAAAATTAAAGATTTTTCGCATATTTTTCACCAGTTGAGTGTATCCAACACATGCAACCCCATGCTCTCCGTGTCCCATGTCCAAGACGTTGAGCAGAATTTTCGCAATATTTAATTTTAGCACAAAAGCACCAGCACTGGCTGCACTGGCAACAAAAATTGGACTAATTGCCGACAATGTTGGCTCTGATTGACTGGACCAAGAGGCTGCGACTGAGGCTGAGACTGATGCTGAGACTGGCCGAGTGTTTGATTGAATGATTGAACGAATGGCAAACGTTAAGGCACCAACACAAACATACGACGAGGCAGCTGCCTAATCCCTGTTATTGGGTCATGTCGCGTCTCTGGGAAAATGTGGCGACGATGTGGCAATGTGGCAACCGCGTTGCTGCCAAGTGCCAAAAACATAACACACCACCGAGTCGCAGTCGCAGTTGCAGTTGCAGTTGCCGTTGTTGTTGCTGCTGCTGATGCTGATGCACTTAATGGTGCTGCGGCACGTTGTTTCTACTTCTGGGAGTCTTGCAGCCGTGATCGAACATTGTGAAAAGCGAGCATTAAAAATGCCTCTTGCAACATTCTCGCTGGGATTGAGGAATGTGTGGGACCGGTGGCACCTGGGGTCGGGGTCGTGGTTCAGCCCCTCGACACGATCAAAGGTGTTTTTTATTTTTTTGGCTGGGGAACCCCCTGGCAGAAGGCCAGATTAGCTCGGCTCTTCCCTTTCGTTTAGGAAGATAACAACAAGCAAACAAAAGAAAACCATTAGTTGAACTTGTTCTTTGCTCATTTCTTGTTTCATATGCTAAAAAATCCCCGATACTCTTTGCAAATATTGCATAATTAATATAAATCAAGAAGCCATGACTTGCCATAAATACAGTGTTTCTCCGAATATGCGGTTCCCATACGATTTTATTTTCGATCTTAAACAACCTTAGCTCTGGAATAATTGCCCCTTGATTGCGCAGCCGTCGCCATAGAAGTGCCATAAAAATGCTATAAACAAAAATGTGATTAAATGAGCATAAAGCAATTGGCAATTACAAGACCACAAAACTTGACTTTTGCATGATTTCGCAACTGCAAGAAAACGGCTTTGGTCGCTCGGCAGCGGCGATTTGCCTTAGTTTAAGGCTTCAACTGGAGCTCGACCTTGAGCCAGAATGCAAAAGTGAGCAGCTCCGCAGAGTCAACAAAAAGGCAACAAGCTCTCAACTCTCCCCGAGACAACTGTCAAAGCCTTGTTTATAGCGGCCAAGAAGCGTGACAGCTGTAGTTCTTTGGTTAATTTGCTCTTATTGTTGTATTAAAGCCATGTTTTCCCACCCTCTTTCCCTTTGCAGATACTTCTTCTCCACGGTGCTGCAGTTCCAGATCTACCGGGCCATGTGCCGCGAGGCAGGTCAATATATTCCCGGTGATCCCAGGAAGCCGCTGCACCAATGCGATATCTACCGACAACCAGCAGCCGGCAATATTCTCAAGTGAGTATAAGAAAAATATTAAATATGCATAGTTAGACTTAAAAAGCGATATTAATTTAGTTCTATGCTTATATGTGGAAAAATGTATGATAAGAGGCTTAATCAGAACACTTTGGTTCTACGTTAACAAATAACACTTAGAAATATAACTAACCCAATAGGGTTTTGAGATAACAAAACTTGTACCTTGAATATTAAGAGAATATACCATCGTACATTAAATGTATGCTACTAACTTTCTAAGAATGAAACTTCGATTTTTATAAATGTATTGCATAAGATTAATAGCGTCTGGATGGACGTTGGGAGGGGATATCAAATCAGTAGGGATATAAATAATCAACATTCTTCTACATTGTTCAACTTTTAAAATTTAACATATATTGTGGTAAGAAATGTTTTCAATCAGAGCTTAAAGTGAAGTCATACTCAATAAAAATTGGTTTCTATCCTAATATCTCCTTCCAACCAAAACGTCAGCAATTGAATAATTTTGTAGAGAAGCAGGTTTTAATGGAACATACTTTTCCTCCTCTTTATTCAATAGAAAACTAATGGCCAAAGGTGCCTCCCAGCCCTGGCAAGAGGTGCTTCAGGAGACCCTTCAGGATGGCCGGTTGGATGGCAGTGCTCTGCGGGAATACTTTGCGCCCCTCGAGGAGTGGCTCCGACTGGAGAATCTCCGGACGAATGAGTACGTTGGATGGAACTACGATGGCGACTATTGCAAACGCAGCATTGAAACAGCTGGATTGCAAATATTTGGAGGCTACTACAATGGAGTCCAAGGAGCTTCTTCATCATTTGGCATCCTGTTCATCTGGATTTCCTTCTACTTTAGCTCGCTTTTTATTTGAATAACCAGAGAATTCGACCTAGTGTTAGAAACAGGCCGTTCCACTTACTACTTCCGCTTATTCAAGTCGCACCTACAAACGAGCTGAACTTGAATCAATGCCAAAAAATACACACTCACAATTCTAAAATTAAATAAACGAAAACATAAAAAACAAAACCAGACAAATTGCTCGACGGGCGGCACCCTAAAAATTGCAACAAGCCGCGAAATAGATACATGTTGTACTTGTCGAACTGTGGATACTTTGTAATTGGGTTGAATGCAATATACTTTACAATATTTACATGATGCTTAATCGAATAAGTTATTCTATAAGTGGAATTGTATAGCTAAAAGTCCTTAAAGTCCCTCAGTATATTTAAAGAATATTTAAAGCAATGCAACATTGATCATCTTATCTCAATCATCTCGAATAGTTTCTGTTGGATTTCCAAGATCCTGGCATGCACCTTGATTCTATGGATACCTCTTATGGAAAACCAGTATAGCTGGATGTGAGGGTCAGGTGGAGCTGAGGGAACCGGTGGACATGGGGATGAGGTGCTACCCATGCGGGTCATTGGAACTCTGGCGTCGCACGCACATTGTTCACTCATTTGCTGGGTTGTTGTTCGCTGCCTTCGTTGCTGTTGCCTGCAATTTAATCAAATAAAATAAATAAACTCACAGAGCTGCTGCATTTGCAACGCTGTGCTTTTGTTTTTCCAGCAGCTGCGCTCGACTGCGGTTTCTGGCGGAGTTCCCAACTGGTTTTTAGCTGGGTGTGTAATTTTGATTTAATAAATTGCAGCGGCAGCAACAACAACAACCACAGCATCGGCAAGAGTCCAGTGTAAACAAGACAATCAACACTTGTGTGGGTTGATCGGGGGTTATGGGTGGCAATGCACAGTGCACGGCCATCTCAGTCAGTGTCATTGTTCTAAAGTTTATCTTAGAAATAAGACACTTTAGCTAAGTGAACCGAGTGCCTAGTACCGCCCGACGGATTCCTAAATACTTGCAATTTGCTTTAAACAGAGAAGTTCCAAGTATGTGCAACGAATTGCTTTAGATTTTGCTGAAATCAGATACACAAGTAAGTGATATTCATAAAAGTTTGATGAGCTCAAATCTATGGGGTAAAATAATGCTCTCAATCAATCAATCAATCGAAAATGAATAATAAATACAATTACATGCATACATTTATATCAAGGTTTTAATGAATAAATGTAAGTATCCTAATGCATACATTCATTTTAACATACAACATAGTTTTTCATACGTTTTAAGTTAATTTTCTAATACTCTGTTAACATTTTATATTTTCTGTGTATATATTTAGGACTTCTTGAATCTTGGCAAAGAAATTCAAAGTCTTAGACCCTTAAACTAATATATACATAATATTTTCCTTGTTTAACCACTGGCATTAAGGGCCCTGTATATCATGAAGATATTGTAGATAGATTTTGAATTTGGTAAAGGAAACATATATGTAATAAATACATTTGTATAAAAATACGCATAGAATTTGATCACAATCGAATAACAATCATCAATTCTATTAGACAGTAAAGTCGATTTATTTGTAATTTTATTTAATTTATTAAGGTTTGTGTACCGGGTATTTTATAGTCGAGCACATTTTACTGTAGTTTTCCTACTTCATGTGCATATGTGTGGATTCATGTTCTCCCCCCTAAGCAAAGCCACGATTTCTCTCATCTTTTACATTATTCAAATTAAATCCTGAGAGTGTGAAGAAAAGCGCAAGTCGAATCCTAAACTGATGAAGCAGCTCCCAGTTCCCAGCTTTGAGCTCCCAGTTTTCAGCTCCCAGAGCAATGACAGCAACATGTTAAGGACATGATCAACATTTCAATTAAATGCAATCACTGCCCTCGTTGAGATCGCCTCTGTGCTCGGGGAGTTGAGTCTCGTGTGCGCCTTGCGCTTCACTTTCACTCTGTTGTAGCATTTACTGGGCAGTGCGTACTTCCGCTCTCCGAGCTCGGAACCCGTCCCCGTAACCCCCGGAACGGCCTTTATTAGCTCGGCGACAATTTGCAATGACAAGCGTAGTTCGCTGCTGTTATTGTTGTAGTGCTTGCTTTTTTAGAAGGAACATTCGGGTGAGTAACTGAATCACCGCCAACTGGGAAACAGTTTTCACGAGACTCGCGTTCCAATCGTACGCGCAGCGCCAATCAGGCGGACAGAACTCGGATTGAAAATATACATAATGCAGTACAGGGGACGCATTGAAACAAGAAGTGTAAAATAAATGCACAATCTCCGTCAGTGAAAATTAAGCAGAGGAAATTATCAACTTAAATGTTTAAAAATTCAAAGCTCGAGATAATGAATTGAACCAGGAGAAACAAGTTTATCGTGTAATCCAAATAATCTGTGGAAAATTAAACTATTTATTATGGATAAACTACTCCTGGTAGTCGTGGCTATGCTCCCTCTGGGATATAGCCAAAACAGCAGCCTAAAGATCAACACACATCTGAAGGACATCGCGGATGGACCTGTGGCCCTGGCCTCGATCCAGGGTCCCGGCAACATCTGCATCCGCGAGGAGCCGTACGTGGAGCTCATCCAGGTGCCGGAGATGCAACCCGTGCGCGTGCGCACCTCCAGCTGGTGCATGGAGATCCCGCCGAGGTGCGCCACCTACAAGACGGAAATGCGCGAGGTGATGAGGGTCCAGGTGAGTCGGACTGCCTCCGGAGCACTGACTCCGGACTGCCAAATGGTCGCAGGTGTTCCATTACCGGCTCTGCCTTTGCGGGCATCTCTTGCGTCACCATTGCCCAGCCAGTGGCAACACCTTCGCAGTGGCCAGTGGCCAGTGGCCAGTGGAGAGTGGCCACTTTTTCACCAACTTGGGGAGCCTGCGCCAGAAACCTGATTTCGATTTGCCCAACCAGGAAGCCGCTCACCACGATATCCATAAATTGCCCCGATCCGATGGCCGACTTTGATAGCTTTTCTCATATATTTGGTGCGCTTTATGGGTTCTGTTCGCGAACAGGTGCATTGCGCAATTCTCGCGAAGCCGAGCTGCATTTCCTCTGTCTCTGTCGAGTCTGCTATGGAGAACGGAAGTCAGATCCCTCAGCACATGTGGGATATAGCTTGTGACAGCTGAGTGATTGGTCTTCATTCGAATTCTACGAAGTACCAGACAGCGGTGTCCTTGAGTCCGAGGCCTCTTGAACAGCTGGGCACCTGTGGCGTATACGCAATATTTTTGGTGCAATTATTAGGTTTATGCGTGACCGAAATGATGAATTCAATCCATGAATTTGGAAAAAATGTTTGTGGATAAACACGATTGCCTGTATTCGGGAATACTAGATAATGATAGATAGAAAATCATCAATCATGATACTTAATTATGATACTTAATTATTAAGAGACATCTGACTAAACTAGGTATAAAATATGCCTTTTAAAATGTGTGCTTGAATTCGTGTGGGTTGTTCAACAATTCATCAATTAATTCATTAATTCATAAATTCTTCAAAAGATGAAACATTTTCGGATAATTATGATTTGTTTGAGATACAAGTGAAGCAAATTAAAATAAATCTACAAATTATAAAGGATAGAGTTTTGGGAAGATGATTTAGCAACCTGTTTTTTGATGCAAGCTAGGTTCACACTATTTAAAAAACTGTCAAAAATAAATATACAGTCAATTAATTATTTTATTGAGTTATGTCACCCAGCATATAGAGGAGTATGCATTAAAACAGCATTTACTTAAATTAAAGAAGAAATCATTTAATGAATAATCATAATAATTTTGGATAAACGTTAACTGCATTCAAGCATCTAATCTAATGCACAATACCCACTGCAAACTGATTTTAAACTGCGCAGTGGGAAAAGCGAAAAAAACAACAACTGCAATGGCCAAGTGTTGACCAAGCTTGGCCAGAATCCGGTTGCAGTCGCCTGATCCGTGGGGCCTAATCAGGCTCAGCTGGTTTTTCCAATTCGGTTATTTATTTTTTCCAATTTTTCGTGGACTGGGGGGGCAGGCGAAAAGCGAAAATAATTATGTCATGGTGTCAGTGATGGAAAGTGCTAATGAAAAGCGGAAAATCCAGCACTTATGGCCAGATCGGCCTGGATCGGCGGTATTAAGAGCTCCACTTGTGCCAGAGCTGTTGACACACTTTCGATTGCATCACGCAGCCGAGTTGCAAGCGTCGCCATCGCCATCGCCATGACAAGAGGCAGCCAGTTTTGGCTCAGCTTATTTTTTGCCGGCTTCGTGTCTAATGATTTGTGCGAGTTGAGATCGCTCCGCTGCTTGGCTCGAATTAATTTCATAATTATTTTAATTGGAGCACTTGAGAGGAGAAGCATCGCCTTAATGGCCGGCACCCCGAAAACATATTTCGCCAGTTCGCCGCCATTTAAGTCAACGCCTTAGAAAAATTTCTTGGCCAACACTTGGTTTACTCGGTTTTTGGTCACAAAATGCCGCCACTAATTCGCCAATTTCGATTAATTAATTAACATGAACATGTGCCCATAGAGAGGCTTAGGTCTGAATTGTAAATACTGGTTTGATCCCGCCTCTGGCCCAGCAGAAACTTGAACCACAAAGCCCCCCGCAGGATTTTCCACAGATTTCCCGATTATGCAAATAGGTAAAGATAGATAGATGGACCCCACACGACCACGGAGCATGCTGTAACTCGAGAGGCACGTAGAAATATTGTCCAACTTGTATTCAATTACTATTTATGACGAAAAGCCAGCCGCAATTATGCAGAGCCAGTGAATCAGATGAGAGACACAACTCAACTCGAATCGAATTTCTCTGTTTATATTAAAATTTCCGCCTTATTCATGCGAGGGTGACCGCGTATTCGGACGGTGACACAGCTCCAGATACGCGGGCCGGCCTCCAGATACAAATCCATCAACAATGCGTAAGTCGGGATGCGGACCGGGACCAAATACCGCTCCCAGAATGAGTGTGAGAAGCTTGGTGGGCACTCGGTTATTATCAATTAAATTGGCAACTCAAGGGGTATTCGCGGGAATGTGGGTGCCCTTCCTCACAGCCGTCTCCATCTCAATCCATAACTGCCGAGGGCTGTGCCAAAGTCCACACTGAGGCGTTGACAGGGCTGATGGAGAGTTCTTCACGAGTTTATTCAATTAGGGATGTCTTGTAATGAGGCCCTCTTCAGTGTCACTGAAGATCAAAGAGATTTGTGGCATTGCTGAGGCCTATTTTATGTGAGTCTCTCGAATCTTGCATAGTTTTAGGCACGCAGAAATCGGTTTCTAGTACATGGCATACTTTGGGGCTCTTGTAATTGTAATCACTATAAATGCTCTTAAGTGAAATCTTCATAAATCAGCTTCTGATCTATTTAAGTTAACTCTTTAAACAGGAATCTGAATTTTATCAAAGCAGATTTATTTAAAAATGTAACTCCTTATTATACAAATGTATAATAAGTAGTATCATTAACAACAATGGATTGACTGATGAAGGTTTACCAGCTTCAGGCAGTCTTTGTTAATATTTTAATAATAATTTTAATGCTATAATGCTGCTTCCAGAAACTAAACAAGACACGAACAGTTCGCTTTTGCTGCCAAGGATATGAGGGAAACCTTTCCGATAGCCAGGCTACCTGCAAACCCATTTGCCGTGGTGGCTGTGGGCGTGGCAGTTGCGTAATGCCGGACATTTGCAGCTGCGAGGAGGGTTACATCGGAAAGCACTGCACACAACGTGAGTATAAGAACATAAAAGGTTTGACTGCATCCAAAATAAACGTTTTTCCTAAAGGCTGCGATCATGATCGCTGGGGTCTCGACTGCAAAAATTTCTGCGAGTGCCAAAATGGAGCTGCCTGCGACAACAAATCCGGGATATGTCACTGCTTGGCCGGCTGGACAGGTCAATTGTGAGTGCTTCGATTATATGTAGTTCAATTCATTGCTCTTATTTTACCCTTTCCCAGCTGTGAAAAGCCCTGCCCTCAAGGAACTCATGGAATCATGTGCCGCAAAGTTTGTGACTGCGACGAAAAGCCTTGCCACCCTCAGACAGGTGCTTGCATCCAGCAGGATCATCCGCTGGAGGTGAATGTGAGCCATGTCATCGTGGAAACGGTCAATTCAACGCTGGAAAAGATGGGCATTATTCCACGTACAGTTCCGTCCAGTCCCCTGCCGGAGGTTATAGTGATCAAGCAGCCTGCAGGAAAGGAAAGTGGCCAGCACACGCCCAAGATCATTGTGCATCAGTCGGGCAGCGAACTCCTCGAGAATCTGCACTCCGCCGCAGCTGCGGGGATTCCAGCTCCCGAGGTCATCCACGTTATTACCAATGGGATCACCTCGCCGCAGGAACACCTGGCCGGGTTCGTCGGCGGGGATACCAACACGAGTCAGGCGCCTGCGGATCATCAGTCGGGCCTGGTGACCATGCTGGTCATCATCATGCTGCTCCTGATGATATCCATAGGAGGATCCCTTTACGTATACCGCCGGCATCACCTCAAGGAGGCGAGCGTCTATAATGCCAACGGCTCGGTGACCAATCTGCCCACCAATAATCCCGAGGTGGTGCTCACTGGGGCCGCGGCCCTGGGCAAGAACTTCCACGAGCCGCTGCCTGAGCCGCCGGTCGTCTTCACGGTGACGCCCCACTCGAACGAGGGTATGTAAGTGTCTCAGCCGACCTTAAAAATTGCTATCATGAAAATTACTGAGTAAAAAAAAGTAAGAAAGCTATAGTTAAGTGTGAGTTGATTCTTAGCTACCCGATATTCGGTGCTATTCCCAAGTTTATACAAAAAATTAAATTAAACAGAGCGGGAGGCAGAAGAAAGCCTTGCTAGGATATTGTTGCGCAACATTAAAATAAAGAGAAATGCTGCTATTAGCCTGCTAAGCAACATATTGCAGAAGTTACACAAATAGAAACTCTACCTCTCTAATAACTTATATATTTATTATCCGATCTTAACCAAATGTTTAGAAATCGAACACACGCTTCTTTTGTATGACATGAAATATTATTAGAGTTTCTCCTTAATTAACGTCTATTCGAACTCAAATAACTTACATAAATGATTTATTAGGAATGATACACTTATACTGATAGAAACTGATAGTTTGGTCATAGTTTACCGATCGTTCCTATGATTGCGATAATTCAGGAACCTTTTGGATTTTGATTTAGGATTATTCCAATTTAAATAATATAATGAATTACTAAACCCCGTGCAAGTGCCTTGTAGAAATTGTTAACAATTTGAACTAAATCTTACAATTACCAAACAGCGCCCACAGAATTGTATGACACGCCCAGCAACAACTCGTCGATCAAAACACCGCCCTACGCCTACGCTAGGAAGGAGTCCCTCTACTCAGTGGTCTCTCCCAAGTCACGAAAGGGTAGCCTGGACTCGCATCTCTATGACGAGATCCGCTACCACCAGCAGCACCACAATTCCCACTCCCACAGTCAGAGTCACCATCACCAGCCTCGAAGCCACCAGAACGTTCAGCATTCCACAACGGCCTCGGCATTCCTGCCGGCCAGGCCGCCATCGATGCCCCGGAGCGACCAATTCATCCACGGCGGCCATCAGCCCCATCAGCGACCCCATCACGTGACCCACTTGATAATTCCACCGCAGAATTCCAACTTCTTACAGGTGCCAGCCCAAATAACAGCCAAGAGAATAGCTCATATCTGAGGGTAACCCAAACCGTAAAGTCAGCAGTCTCGAATATATTTTAATAATATAATATTTTAAAACCGTACTCAGACATAGACACTTTGTAGATATAATAAATATCGAAATATTGGTTAATTAATAGTTTTAAAAATCATTTATGCATGCTACTCTTCACATACTCATGTATTCTATTCTAAAAGATTTAGATTTAGGTTCTGAAGGATTTAAAGTATATCTGATAGTCTATGTAATACCTGTACAATGTACATAAATGATTTGAAAATAGTTAGATGCTTTTTATTAATGGTGACAACAATCAATCACTTTATTCCGATAAAATTAATGATTACATCAAATGAATACAACAAGTGATCATCGATTGTAAGAGGTACGATGGTTGTACTTGTAACGCAGATATCCAGCAAAGGCTATTATCCCAAAAAGTAATCCCATTAATCCAAAAATTGATGTTGTTGAAAGTTTAAACTTTTTCCTTTTCATTTGTGAAATTGCTTCGTTTGCTGAATCATTGTAGAAGGTACTTTCCTTAATGTTTAATGTGTTGGATGAATGTTTCGGCATTTCCCTTACGAACCGTAAAGGCACTTCCAACTCCGTCCTGTGTAAATGTTGTGATGATGAATCCGTTCGTTTTCCATTGATTTCTACACATATGAGTAGCAATAAAGCAATCCAAGTAAGGAAATTCATCGTAAGCCAACACTTTAATTATAATTTACTTAAAGAAGAATATCGTACGTATTGCTGCTCTGAGAGCTGGATATAAACTGCCAATGCGAATAGAGTTTAGTTTCAAAAATACTTACTTTACCGCTCTAACCATTTGGGGATTCACTTTTGATATGAAACAATAACAATCTGAGACTTAAAGCTAAAAATTACAGAGCTACAATTGCACAAATTCTCTTGAGTACGTTAAACGATCGCCTTTCGAAAACCTCTCGTTCTGGTGCTGATAAGCCCTCCAAGTAGTACATTAAAGTCCCCCAGCAAGTCGTTCATTCGCTCCACAACACCCTAGCTTGATACTACAGGCGGCAATGCTATCGAGGGGACCATTGGCTCCGCTAATTGCGCTGCTGACTCTGGCTGTGGCTCCGGCTCAAATCGAGGCCGATTCCTCAGAGCTTGAGCTTTACGGTGACATAGTGACTCCGGGGGAGTTCGAGTCGCTGAGCCTGACCCGCGAGCGCCAACAACATCTCTGCCAGCGTGAGGTGCCGTAAGTACTGATCTTATATGTATACTGATGACCACTATGACCCTCTTTGCATGCTATGCCTCGAGGGAAACCCCCAGGGGAGCGCAACTGTAGAGATTTTCCGATTACAGGGCCGTGTTTTTCCAAACCCACAAGGATACTGTGCCACGCGGCAATGGCTCCACCATCTTTTATCACCGCATCGAGGTCTGCTGCCTGGGCTATCGACGTGATCGCTACTCCGGTGAATGTGTGCCCGACTGCTCGGAGTCCTCGCCGGACAACTGTCGCAATGGCTTCTGTCACGCTCCTGGTCGCTGCGACTGCTTCGCGGAGTTTGTCCGCAACGAACACGGCTCCTGCATCCACACCTGTCCGATTGCTTGCCAGCACGGCAGGTGCTACCTGAACGGCACCTGTGCCTGCCACCCGGGCTACGCCCTCGACCAGGAGACCCGCCAGTTCTGCCGGCCGCAGTGCTCCCAGGCATGTGGCACCCACGAGGAGTGCGTGGCCCCTGGCCAGTGCGACTGCTCACCCGGTTACCGCCGCACTCCTGACCTAGGATGCCAGCCAGTCTGTGCCCCGGACTGTGGATACGGCAAGTGCTCGGCACCCAATCAGTGCGAGTGCTTTGCCGGATTCATAAAGCGACCGCAGCGGAATGTCTGCGAGGCAGAGTGCTACATGTAAAGTATATTCACATGGTTTGATCTAACATGGAATCTATATAAATCTCTCACATTAATTAGCAATTGCGAGAATGGCTTCTGCGAGTCGAGATACAAGTGCCAGTGCCGGGAGGGCTACCGCTATGACCACAACACCACCAGTTGCCTGCCGGAGTGCACCGACAACTGTGGCCACGGGAACGGAGTGTGCATAGCTCCCGGAGTCTGCCGCTGCTTTGAGGGTTACGAAGCCCACCTCTCAAGCTGCCAGCCCAAGTGTGAGAGGTCGGTATAGGTGCCGACAAGTCGAAGGATTCACAGCATACGGCTCTAACTTTCACAGGTCCTGCGGCAAGTATGGTCGCTGTCTGGCCCCGAATATCTGCGGCTGCGGGCAGTCCCAACAGCACTGCCTGAATGGCCGTTGCAATGAGATGGGACATTGCGTGTGCCCTTCGGGGGAATCCCACTTTGTGGACCGCTGCCTGAAGCCCCAGGAACTAACCCGGCAGCTCTCAACCAGGGAGCAGAGAAGGCATTTAAGTCACCAGCTGCGTTACGAGTTCAATGCCCTCATTGGGCGTCTCTTTAATTTCACCTGAGACAAAACAAATAAAGATTGCAAGGTTAAGTATTAGGACAGTTGCTTAGGTGGCCTGGCAGGTCTGGCGTCCCTTGATGCCGCTCTTGGTGAATCCTGGCCTGCAAATGCAGAAGTTCGGAGCACTGCAGAAGCCGTTGAGGCATCCCTGGGGGCAGTGGGGCTGGCAGATGTTCCTCTGGTGCTCGTCTCTCACGTAACCCGGCTTGCATTTGCACTGATTGTTGCCCACGCAGACGCCGTTGAGGCAGGGTATGTCGCACTTGGGCTGGCACTCGGCCAACTTGCGGTCCCATTCAAATCCGGAGGCGCACTCGCAGACGTCCGGGGCAATGCAGCGTCCGTTCTTGCAGGGTCTGGTAGGGAAAGTAATTAGATACAGGATACAGATTCAAGTCGAAGACCACTCACATCGTACAGATAGGCTCACATCGACCCTGGAGCTTGAGGTAGCCCCCATTGCAGGTGCAGTGACCGGGAGCAGTGCACCTGCCGTTCTCGCAGCTATCGCAGACCGGCTCGCAGCTACCATCAGCGGCTTGGCGATATCCCTCCAGGCAGGCGCACTTGTTGGGGGCGACACAGCGACCAAAGGCGCATCCTGGGCGGCACACCGGCTGGCAGTACTTGCGGGTCTCCGGGTCCAGCGAGTAGCCCTCGCGGCACCGGCACTCGTTGGCCTCGTCGCACACCCCGTTGCCACATCCCAGAGGGCAGGTGGAGATGCATTTGCCTTCGGCGGTGCGAACGTGTCCGGGAATGCAAACGCAGGTGTTGGGCGCCGTGCAGATGCCATTGGGACAGTCGTCGGCACAGATGGGTTCGCAGCGGCGGTAGATGTGAGGATTACGCTCGTATCCCTCGCAGCACACCTCGATGCGACTCATGTCCGGAGTGGTTCCATTGCCCACGAACTTGTCGCGGGAGTTACGCAGGAGCGAGGCGGTGCTAACATAAAAGAGTTGCATGAAGGTTTAACTGAGCATTACAATACGATTTATAGGTAGACTTATAATAACTTAAGTTTTGAGTATTACGGTTTACTTTTCAACAAAATAGTCCTTCAAAACAATTGGGCCTGGAAGGAAATACATTCTTAATCAATTGCATTAGTTGTTTACTCATTTATATAATGTTGCTAAAACATTTCTCATCAGAATTATCAGACACAGAAAGGAGACATTGAAAAACTGTTCAAGTTATAATTGCTATACTTTCACATCCCTCTTAAACTGTTAAACTGTGTACTTTTAAATGTGTAATTAAAAAGATTTTTGTAACTATTATTTTTAATATTGTGTAGAGTATAAAGAGAGTTTATATAGTGTACTATGTTTCAAAACTTCAAGTTGCATTAAATACGTATGAAACTGCATACTAAATTTGTACATATTATTTGCTTGTACTATCAATGAGCATTCAATTATCAGGCCAGTGGAGGAAGTCGAGGTCGTTAGTTCATTGTTTTAATTGTTTGCCTTGTTTTCGAATGCTCTCCGACAGTTGAAAGCGAAATAAAAATGTGTTCCTTCGATTAAAACTTACGGAACTTCCTTGAAACAGATGCCGCTGGCCATCCCAGATCGAGTCTTATTGATGAACAGCGCCGTCTCGTCGAGGACTTGGGGTCTGCGATTAGGCGGAACAGTCACCGGCTGGACATAGTGTCCGTAAAGAGGCGGCAGGGTGGATGGTTGGTATGTTTCAGCCGGAACAAAGTTGTTGGATCCGTAATTGGATCCAGCCTGGTTGTGGTTACTCCAGACGTAGTTGCTCTGGTTCTGGCTGTTCCAGCCGTACGTGCTCTGGTTGTAGCTGCTCCAGTTGAAAGCGCTCTGGTTGAAATCACTTGCGTTTCCGGATAACTGCAGGTTGCCCGAAGGAGGCTGACGCGTCTTGATGCCTGCCGTCTTGAACTGGCCCTGGCCCAGGGAGCAGATGGCCAGCAGAACACTCAGGGCCAGCAGCTGGGTCGGTGAGCTCATGGTGATGTCACTTGGTTGCGATTACGTATGGAAATTTCAGTGCGCCCACGTCCACGTCCGTTGGCTTCTACTGCTGCACTTCAACTATTCGACTGCCAGTGCCAAAGCTGCGGATCTCGATCTCAGAGCCGCGAATCGCCTCCGGCGACCCCTTGTTGTCCGCCTCCTAATCAGCACCTCGCCATTGGTCGCATCAATGGGGCGAACGGAGCGAAGGTTTGCTCTCCGCACAGCCTTAGGCAAAACAAATTGATAATTTCTATTTGCTTCGACGTAAATAATGAATTTCGTTTGTTAACAATCAATGGGTAATTCCACGAAAATCTCACCGAATAGCGATGACTTCAGCTACACATGGAGAGCGTTGAGTTGGTGAGGGAAGATCAGGGGACGCCTCTTAACTGAAGCTCATTTAATATTTGCAAAGTTGTTACTCTAAATGCAAAATGTCATAAGTTGGTGGATTAGCTTACTTTATAGGTAAATGAACCTAAAGAAGGGATGGGGAACTTTATCTTAAATGGTTCCACTACTTATATTTTATTGCTTATTCATTAATGTTCTTTTTTTGTGACCATATACATTAAACATTCACAATCATGGTCAGAATTGATAGCTCTAGTAATGGGAAAGTTGTATTCATTACAGAAGTCAAACTTAAAATAGGATCAAAGCAACGGAATTAATATAGTGTATAGTATTAAGTAGCATAAATAATATTTAGAATTGTTGGACATCACTTTAAGAAAATAATTGTCTAAAGAAGTAGCTATAGAAATATAAAAATGTTTAAATTAGAACCAATCACATTTTGGTCTGAAGTTACTGTAAAGCTTTTTGAGACTACTAAAATACACCCAAAATAAGATACAATAGATCCGAAATAAGCAAAACTAAATCCAGAATACATCCAGTATATGTACATCGAAAATAGGCCCCAAAACTACCCAAACTTAAATTATACTGCAAATAAACTCAAAAAATAAATTACAAATAATAAACCTAGTTCCTTTTTCTGCCCTAAGCTGCAGAAATTTTGGGAGCTAAATGTGCCTTCCTTATTTTTATCTCAACTCGTTAGGAGTAGTTTTTGTCAGTTTAGATTGATAGGTAAAATCAATTTACTAATTATACTTAACTGACTCAATATACAATACTCATTTAAAAGAAAGTGAAAGTTTAAATACCACCCAAAACCTGAAACGAAATTAGATTCGTTCTCAGATTAGGGTAAAAATAAATTTATTCATTGCTTATGACATTTCCCATTTTGTCGATAGTAGCCAGGAGCACATTCGCAGTTGTCCGGCGTGATGCAGAGACCATTTGAGCAATCCTCCCTGCAGATCGGTAGACACGTTAGCTTCTCGGAGCTGCCCATGCGGAGGTAGCCATTGCAGCAGTAAGAGATCTGTCGTCTCCTGGCGTTCGGATTGATGGTGTCCACCCTGAAAGAGGGAGAGCAAGGAATTATGATTAGACACTTGTGGTTTCGAGTTGATCCGGTTTACTCACATGATGTCCCCGTAGCAGATTCCGGAGGGGCGATTGGCCAGTACATCGCTGTGCCAGTCGGGCAGGGGCACGGCCTTCCAGAACTGGGCGGTGACGGGATGGGCCAGATTGGAGGCCAGGCAGACGGTAAGTAGGCCAAGTAGCGCGGATGTCAAGTGCATTTCGCTCAGATCTGTGACTAGGAATGAGGTCGGGTGGAAAAGCGAGACCGGAGCTCGCCAATGTCTCGGGGCTACTAAATTGTCGTCTGTGTCAGGCCCGGCATTTAAATGTATGAAGAAAGAAATTGTCTATATTTGTATGAAGATAATTATATTTTTGATACCGAGTAGTCATCGGGTATGTTGAATTGGCAGGGCATATTTCCTTCTTAGTTTAATATATATGCTTAACGTAACTTTAATCTTTTCACTTTAGAATAAAACAACATTATGTATAAATTAAATCTGTTGATAAGTGACTCCGCGAGGTATCCCTCGCATGAGCTTTAGTAGTTCACTCTAAAATAGACCAAAGGGAAGCTCAAGATATGGGTATGACCTACTGATAAGGCTACAACAACAAATTGAGAAATATTTCAGTGTTTATTAGTGTTCTCTTCCAAAGCGAGAACAAGAGCTTATCTCAGAGCCACCACATGGAGTTGTGGACGAGGTCGGAGCCGCCCAAGACAAAATGTCTCCCTATGAGCAGATTGAACTCCTGGATGAGCGAGGCATTCACCCGGATGGGATTCATCGATGCGTAGGTGGTGACCGTGTCCGGCGACATGCACTTGTCGATGAATCGCGTCTTGCCCACCTGGCACCGGCATCGTCCCTCAGCGTTGCAGAGCCCGAACTCACACTTCTGGTATGTGCGATCTGGACCCGGAACCACGGCGCATCCGCACACACCCGGAGCTATGCACTTGCCGTAGAAGCCGCATCCCCGCTCACAGACAGCATCGCAGCGCTCCCGATTCCGGACGTAGCCGTTGAAGCAGCGACAGTTACCCGGAGAGATGCAGACCCCATTATCGCAGGTGTCCCCACAGTCCGGCAGGCAACTCGTGGTATTCTCGTCGTAGCGATATCCATTCTGACACACACAGGTCGTGAAGTTTGCACAGAATCCGTTCTCGCAGCGTCTGAAAATGGATCAATGAAATTATTGTATTTTATATATTGAAGCAAATTGAGGTTCATAAGATCTGGAACTCTTGGAAATGTTAAATAGATTCAAAGATCCCTATTCAAGGTAGAACCTGCATTAATTAAGGCTCGTTATTTCATTTACTCACTTGTAGCAGTGTCCTTCACAAGAGCTACCGTTGAGTCGCTTCTGATATCCCGGAAAGCACTCGCACTGGTTGGGACCCACACAGTGACCGTAGCCACAGTCCGGAATGCAAACCGGCTGGCATCCGAGTGCCGAAGACTCCCTCAGACCGCGGGCAAAGCCCTCGGCGCAGGAGCACTTGCCCGGCTCCAGGCAGACCTCGTTGTGGCCACAGGTCGTGTTGCACTGTGGCTGGCAGTAGCGTCGGGATCCATCCAGCTCGTACCCCTTGTCGCACAGACAGGTGCCGTTCAGGAAGCACCTTCCGTGGGGACAACCGAGCGGACAGGTGGGCACACAGTTGTTGCGGTAGTTCAACACAAAGTCATCGAAGCACTGACAGAGGCCTCCCGCGACACAGAAGCCATTCTCTTGACAGTGCTCCCCACAATCGGGGACGCATCTGCTCCAATCATACTCGTAGCGCCGCCAGCCCTTGCAACACACCTCAATGACGTTGAAATAGGGATTAGTGGTGCTGTTGCCCACGATCTTTACCTCTTTGTCGTACTGAAAGAAGACAGCACTGCACAATGACAGAGTTAGAATATGAAGGTATCGTTCTTAAGACTAATGAATAAGGATAACTGGAAGTGAAGTAATTTTCGAAAGAGGTTAATCTCCAGCTCCTTCCGCTCGGCTTAACAGACTTACGGCACTTCCCGGTAGCACTTATCCGGATGCTCTCCTCGGCGGGGCAGTGACAGCCCGTTGGGAATGATGTAGGGCTTTCGACTGGTGGTCGTGGAGGACAGGCGCCTCTGGTGAGCCTCCAGCTCACGTTGCAGCTCCCGGTGGCGCTGCTCCGCCTTCATCCGGAGCTGCTCGTCCTGTTGCTGCTGCAGCTGCCGCTCGTGCAACTGGAGCTCCAGGGCCTGGAGCAGGCAGACTGAGAGGACAAGCAGGAGCGAGTGGATGCACAGACTGCGCAGTAGTGGCGACATCCCGGATTTCTAAGTCCAGCTCTTAAACCGCACCACCGAAGCGCTCAAGTCGCGATTGTTTACTGCTCCAGCGATGGCGACGCTGCTGGGCAGGCCTTTAATCGCAGTCGGGGGCACAGATAAGAGGGCTTTTGGCTTTTAATTGTAAACGAACGAGATCCAGAGACCACAAGGCCAAAGTATGTCAAATGAGAGTGAACTACAGAATTGTTATGGCACTTTATTGCTAATTGTACATAGCATTTGTTTTGAACAAATTTTACTTTAAATCAGTGTTATCCACTGGCCCGAGAGTCAGAAAAATTCTCTGCTCGGCCTTTGCTCGTGCAAATTGTTCAAACATTCTTGGGAATGCAGTTCTATCATTCCTATGTTTTATCTGTAATAAAATAAATGTATAATAGATAAAGGCAACTTGAGATATTTAAAATTTATTAAGGATATCAGTAGAGTAAAGCTATCAAACAAGAGTTTTTATACGAACAATATAATACAAACCATGATTTTTGTAAGTTCCAAGCTACAATTTATTTAACGCATGTACCTCTTTTTATTTTGATCAGTCTATTATTTTAATTTTAATACGTCAATTGAATGTAAATTATATTCCTATTCATTATTATTCATATTCATAGTGAAATAGGTTAGTGAAGTAATTAAATTAAATTATTAAAATTACAATTTCTTAAAGGCAACTAATTCTTACACTTCTTTAGAATCTAAATTTGTGTTGGCAGCAACATATTTTAGCAACTCATGTCTTCATTGTTCAACATTTTTTTCTTTTGCCACGTTTAATTTATGTTTTTTATAAAATTTAGCAAATTAGACAAAGCTCATTACAAATTAACCCGCAATGCTTTAAGTACCGGGTATCTCCCAGTCGGTTACATCCGACTGTTGCTTCCCTTTTTGGTTTTACTTGCTTTTATTTATGTTTAAAAAAATCTGAGCCGAATTCCGCTCTATTTGTGAGAATTCAGCACAATTTTTTCTGATAAGCCACCAAACAAACTTTGTTCGAGTAGCGAACTCACGAATCTCAAACAAAATCAGTACAATTTTAGCTGGCAAATAGGAAGCACTTCCATATTCAAATCATAAGTCACAATGCGGCTTCTGAGTTTTCTTCACCTCATAATATTTCATAATATTTACGCGCATTTGCCGAACTTCGGTGACTATGATTCTCGATATGGCGCAAGGAGACCAATTTCCCAGGATCCGGGAAACTATGGTGGAGTCTATTTGGAAAACAGGCAGCTGAGAAATAATAATAGACCCGGAGCAGCCAACCTTGAAGATATCACAAACGTAGATCAGCAGCGAATGCGTCGCGAGTATCTGATACGATCCCATGAAACACCATCTGGACACAACAAGTGCCGCATATGGGTGCCGTAAGTATGCATTACATTGATAGCATTTAGTTATATACCATATATAATATATTATGTATTATGTATATCTTTCCATACTTCAAATTTCTTCTAGCAGGCAAACTAACAACTGTTTTGATTATCAATTATCACATTTAGCGATTAATTTAGTTTCATGTAACAAAACTTTACTCCTCATAAGAGTATATATTTAATGTGTCCACTTTCTTTATAAAGAAATACCATATTATATATAGTTATTTTTTAGATACTAACATGACCTGCGTTCCGCATTTAGAATGGATTTCATCAAACTCTAGCTTTTAAACAGACAGAAACACCAGTAGATTCTTCTTTCATACTCTTTTCGGTTGGGATTATCTTATAATTCTATAAGTACCTATAGGCTCAATTTTTATTATTGTATTTATTTATTTTTTAATGGTTTTTTGCCAACCTCAAGGTTTATTTGGAATGATTTTAATATCGTCTTTTATATATTTTCATTTACACCTCAGCCGAACTAGCATGTAGAAAATCTATTAATTAAGAAACCAACCAAAACAAGTTTTGCGAGATAACAAGTTTTAGTAAAGCATATACAAATGTTTATAGGTATTTGTTTATATCATATATTTTAGCATGAGGCTTCCGAAAATGATTCAATCAATATGACTAGAATGCTCTTTGGTATATCCTTATTGTATATCCTTATTGCAGTCCTGAAACAGTGGAGAAGTACCCGCACGCCAGTCTCATCCAGGCGGACCAGTCCAAGCGCCTGTCCCATATCGAGGTCTGCTGTACAGGGTACTCGGCCAGTCGGTACAAGGGAGTGACTGCGTGCCGGCCCCTGTGCGGATGCCGGAACGGAAGCTGCCGGGCTCCCGGCGAGTGCGATTGCTACGAGGGATATGTGAAGAACGACAACGGGGATTGCGTCTTCGCCTGTCCACTGGGATGCCAGAACGGAGTCTGCTACCTCGATGGCAGCTGCCAATGCGACCCGGGATACAAGCTGGACGAGACGCGGCGCTTCTGCCGGCCCATCTGCAGCAGCGGGTGTGGCAACAATCCGCGGCACAACTGCACCGAGCCGGAGGTCTGTGGGTGCGCCAAGGGCTACCAGCTGACGGATGTCGGTTGCCAGCCCGTCTGCGACCCGGACTGCGGAGTGGGCGGCCTCTGCCAGGAGGACAACCAGTGCGACTGTGCCCCGGGCTACAAGCGGAAGGATGGCGTCTGTCAGGCCGATTGCTACCAGTGAGTTGCTTTGAGTTGTTAATAATCACAATTCGCAAATGATTTAATTTAAATAATTAAATATTTAAATCGCAGAAAGTGCAACAACGGGGTGTGTGTGAGCCGTAATCGATGCATCTGCGATCTGGGATTCAGCTACCATGAGGAGTCGACCATGTGTGTTCCAGTCTAGACAGATGATGGTCTTACTTTCCAGGTCTTCTCACTCCGCCTGAGTATTCGTGAATAACTTTATTTTTAAGAGTATGTTGCACCTGGAATCTAAAAGATAAATTCAACGAAGATTTTATAGTTTAATAATCGCTAATGACTGGGAAAACTTTTAAAAAGAACAGTAACTATTCAAATTTATGATGAAATACGTTTTAAAATGGTTTAATATTTAATTGTCTTTTTAGGTTTTAAGTTCCTCTAAAAATACTTAACCAATTATTCATTTACTTGATAAATAAAGTTTAAACAGAAAAAACTGTCTTATACTTAATTTCTTAATATTTCGCTTATTTGTTTTGCATTATTAAATAATTCAAAGAAAATAAAGTTCTCATTACTGACAACATCCGGACTTAAGCTCGATAACGAAAATGCAAGCAACATTAGAATAAACACTTTATCATAATTATTAAAGTGTTGTTAAACAATAATTATATATTGAAAAGACTTTAAACATTTCTCTATTTGCTTTAGATTTGTCTTTACCTTGTGATTTAAGCTCCACATTTAAATATACTTTTTTGTTATTATAATTATTAGTACATATGTTTTATATTACAATTCCTAACTTATAAAAATGTATTTAAGCTAAGACCTTTATCAATGTTATAATTTTTTTTCTGATATCTGGTTTTCTTCAAAGTTTGTTTTTAATAAAATTGATAATACTGCTCGTAATAAACTAATGACATTAACGCCGTAAAGCCGAAAACGGGAATAGACAAAAAAAAAAAAAAATGTTTTATACTGCATTTTAAAGAAAGAAAACTTAAGATAATTTCAATGAATTTTTTAAAAGTTATCAGAGAGGGGAAAAAAGAAATGCAAAAAAAAAACCTTTTGCGTTTTAAATTTTAAGTTTCTTAGATACAAATAAATGTATTATTTTATTTCGTATCGTATAATATACAAGAAAGGAAGCTAACTTCGGCACGCCGAAGTTTATATACCCTTGCAGATAGAACTCGATGACTAGGAATCCATACAATATTAATTTTATATATTTGCGTTAAAAAACAATAAAGTAATACCTATTTTCATTGCATTCACCTATACATATTATATTTTCAGTTTTACATTCACAGATTTGCATTTTTCTTCTACATCAAACGATCGTTCGTATGGCACCTATATGATATAGTCGTCCGATTTTATACCTCAAATTTGATGAAAATCTGTTGAAAACTGAAAAAGTTTAATATTTAATTGCATTAATTTCTCGATCGTTCCTATGGGAGCTATATGATATAGTAGTCCTATTTTCATAAAATTTTACACAAAATTGTAGAGTACAATAAAATGAGTACAATATCTCAAATTCAATCAAATTCTGTTGAAAACTGATAATGTTATAATTTTTTTTGTAAAAATTTTCCGATCATTCCTATGGCAGCTATATGATATAGTCGTCCGAGAGAGTATATAGAAGGCTAACTACAAAGTTTCATTCAGATAGCTTCAAAACTGAGAGACTAGTTTGCGTAGAAACGGACAGACGGACAGAAGGACAGACGGACATCGCTAGATCGACTCGGCTGTTGCTCCTGATCAAGAATATATATACTTTATATGGTCGGAAATGACTCCTTCACTGCGTTGCAAACTTCTGACTGAAATTATAATACCCTGCAAGGGTATAAAAAGGAGTAGTTGTTTTTTAGTTAATAAAACCCATAAAAATATAAGACAATGCAACATCTTGGTTTAACAGCAAAGTTGTTTAATATGTTTCCAACATATGTATGTACTTTAAGCTTAATTGGATATGTATATTGTATAATTTTTCAATGTCACCCATAATGCTTTTGGGTATCTGTTTATTTTTACTTTCTGTCCCATTCGAATTTTAATTTCAATTCATTTTGTTTCAATTTATCACAACATTATTATTTAGAAGTATGATAGTGCTAAAAAGAAAGTGGAGTTAAAGTGGTTACATAGGTTAAATTCATTCTTTTATATAATGTTATGTTAATTATTACAAACAATTGCAAATGTTAATTTTTAATAATATATTTTTTTAACAATGTGACACAGTTGGCGCACATTTTTTATTTACAACATATGCCTGTCGATTATTGCAATGCAACAAAACTTTTAGAAGCACAGCCAAGAATGCCACAAGAACCAAAATGCAGAAAAACCAAATGGGAAATGACCAGTCTACTTTGGTTGCGATTGTTTCGCTCAGTGCATTTATTGCTGCAGTTGTAGTTTCGGGAAGTGTATCTGTTACTGCTGTTGTTTTATCGCTTTGGGCAGCCTCTGAATATTCGGATGTTTTGGTATTATCTCTGGGTGTTTCCGTTGACTTCTCGGAGGATTCCATGACGTGATAGATCGGAGTGGAGGATTCCATGAGGTGATAGATGCGACGGGATGACTCAGAAGGATGAACAGAAGTCATATTAAGTACGACTAAAGGTGATACGCTGGAGGACGAAGTAATGTCCTGCGTTTTGTTTAACATTCGTTGACAGTTTTCAATAGGTCCCTCGTAGCCTGGACAACATTTCGGTTGTATTATAAATTTATATGCCGTCTATATTGAGAATAAAGAGTATTCACTTTTACTTATTTGTAAACTCTATTTAATTAATTTAATCAATTGATTTAGATCTTTACCTCTTCCACAACTGAAGTGACCTCTCGATATCTTGTCCTTTGACCATAATTGTATGTTCTTTCTTCAAAAGGAACGAGCTCGGTTTTGTTAACTTTTCGAGTGAAGGGAACTTTTTCAGTAAACTGGCAAACATTTCGACCATACACTTCTGCATAGGCAAATCCAATAGAACAAAAAACCACAAATAAAATAAGTAATTTATCCCGATTCATATTTAAAATTTTAATTGGAACACCACCAACACAGCTCTGCACCAAAAATCAACTGAGCTAAAAAACTTTGTTCCCATTAGGGTATATTTTGGCATTTCAAATTTCGCTCTTCTATTTCCGTTTAGCTTGATAAACGTCTTTTTATACCCTTGCAGGGTATTCTAATTTCAGTCAGAAGTTTGCAACGCAGTGAAGGAGGCACCTCCGACTATATAAAGTATATATATTCTTGATCAGGATCAAAAGCCGAGTCGATCTAGCCATGTCCGTCTGTCCGTCTGTTCGTCTGCCCGTCTGTCCGTTTCTACGCAAACTAGTCTCTCAGTTTTGAAGCTATCTGAATGAAACTTTGTAGTTAGTCTTCTATATACTCTCACTCGTATATACATATGTCGGAACGGGCCGGATCGGAAGGCTATATCATATAGCTGCCATTGGAATGATCGGAAAATTTAAAAAAAAATTATAACATTTTCAGTTTTCAACAGAATTTAATTAAATTTGAGATTAGGCATTTTATGTTATTCTACAATTTTGTGTAAAATTTTATGAAAATCGGACTACTATATCAAATAGGTCCTATAATTACGATCGTTAGATGTGGAGCAAAAATGCAAATGTGTGAAAGTAAAATTGCAAATATAATATAAATAGGTGATTGAAATGAAAGCAGGTATTACTTCATTGTTTTTTAACATAAATATATATAATTTATATTGTACAGATTCCTAGACATCGAAGTTCTATCTGCAAGGTTATATAAACTTCGGCGTGCAAAAGTTAGCTTCCTTTCTTGTTTCACTTAAAATTTGAGTAATATCCGTTTGATGTCGAGCCACAATTGCTTTTACATACATATTTGAATGTACATACATTAAAAGTACATATATGTCAAAGTACGCTAATCACACTTTCGTAAAGCTTATATGTATATCTTAAAGAATTCCAATCTCACCATATATGTGCATAGTTGTACTTATGATGACGCAGAATGAGAAAATAAAGCAAACTTTCTTTTTATCTATTCAGTCTGCCATTGGATCATTTAATCGAATTAATTTAAATGAAACAAAGGTAGATTGTACGTTTTGTATACACAAAAACAATAATTTTGTCTGATTTTCCATAATTTAAATAGCTATGAAATGAATCATACTCTGCCTTGCCTGCATAAAGAATATATTAAAATATGTATATACAAATTTGTATGCTTAACAAGAATGAAACTATCTTTTGTTCAAAATAGCAAAAAAAAAAAAAAAATTTTCTATAGGTTTTTTAAATTCAAATAAAATAAATAAATATCTCGTAAAATATAAATTATAAATAAATATTTTTAAAACAATAGTAATGTGAATCCGATCTGGCCCTTTTCGTTAATTGAGAATCATTCTGATAGCTTGAAAAGTTTTCAATGAAAGCTAAGTGATATCTTTGCGTAGAAGCGGAAGGATGTGCATAGCTAGATCGACTCGGCTGTTGATTTTGGTCAAGAATCTATATATAAATCCATTTAAATTTTCCCTTGCGGTTACAATAATTTTAAAGGGAAAATGTATCTCATCAGTTTAAAAGTCAATTTAGAATCACAAATATCAATTGATTTTTCTGTATTTTGTTGGCCAGTTTTTATTATTATTTTATATAAAATTATATTATTTTACATTAAATATTATGGAAATATGCAAAGTATACAAATATATTGAATACTTAGTATCTCACTCATTTGGTTTTATTTGGAATTGGTTAAACATGGAATGGAGACAGAAAAAGTAGAACCAATTGAACGGTTGAATATGAAATACATTTGAAACTAATAACGGTAAATTGGAATACATTTTGAACTATATTTTACAGATCGTAGATTCCTTCTGTGATCACATCATTACGTCTGGATGTGGATTTTCGATACATTTTTATGGCAGCGACTGCAATGGTCGCTATGACGACTATTCCGGCACACCAGCCCATTAGGATAAGCCATTTGGGTGCCGAAGTAGTGGTCTTTACATGATCACTGGCCTCGGCCATGGCCTGTGCCCTCGTATCCTTGGGCTTCGGCACCTTGCACACAAAGCGCGTCTCCTCGGAGCTATAATCCTCGTCCCCGTCCTCGGTGCAAGCTAGCTGACCAGTGGCCAGATCACAGTGACAGTGGGTCATACTCAGGCACGGCTTGTCCTGGTCATCCGCACAAACCTTGGCACACTTGGCGGTGCTCAGTATTCCCTCATCGAAGTACTCCACCCAGCAGAGGCAATCCCCGGTGCAGTTCCAGTGGGGGAGTTGCAGCAAGTCAGCTGATGACTTGGAACTGGATGCATCGGCCTCTATGGTGGCGGTTGTGATGTCGGTCAGGTCGGTATGCGTCTCAGAGGTACTCGTGGTCTGCAGGCTACAGCCCTCGGCTGTGTACTCATATCCCGGCCAGCACCGGCACTCCTCGGGGGCCACACAATCTCCGAACCCACAGTCCGTGGAACAGTGGGGCTGGCATATGGTGGCCGAGGACTTGATGTGCCCTTCCAAGCAGCTGCACTCATCCGGAGCAGAGCAGGTTCCGTTCACACAGGCTGTTTGACAGACGGGCTGGCATATGGAGGGAATAGAGCTATTGCCCTCCGGCTGGTAGCCCTGGTGGCAGAGGCAAATGTTCGGAGCCACGCAATCCCCGTTGCGACAGCCTCTCTCGCAGATCGCCTCGCACTCATGCTGGGACCCGTCCTTGAATCGATAGCCCGGATCACAGGAGCAGGTCTCCGGCGCAGTGCACCTGCCGTGAATGCAGTGCAAACTGCACTGCGGCTCGCAGGTGTCATCGGGACCCATCAAGTGGCCGATCAGGCAGACGCACTTTTCGGGCGTGAAGCAGAATCCGTTGGGACATCCCTTGCTGCACTTGGGCTGGCACTTGTGGTCCTCACCGGTGGACTCGTAGCCCGGATAGCATTCGCACTCGTTGGGCGCCACGCAGCGGGCATAGTCTGGGCACTCCTGCGTGCACCGCGGTTCGCAGCGATCACCTTTCATGACGTAGCCTGGATCGCAGATGCAGACATCCGGCTGTAAGCAGCTGCTGTGCTCCGGACAACTAGAGCAAATGGGCTGGCAACCGGAGCTATCCGGGGAATATCCAACCTCGCACTCGCACACTCCTGGCCTCACGCACAGGCTGTGGTTGCCACAGGCCTGCTTGCAGAAGGGCGAGCACTGGCCATGGCTATCCGCCTGGAATCCTCCCACGCAGGCGCACACATCCGGCTCCTGGCAGCGGCTGTTTGGCCCACACTCAGGCTTGCAGACTGGCTGGCAACCGGAGCCTTCTTCCAGCACATCGTAGCCGGGCAGGCACTCGCACTTGGCTGGCGCCGCGCAGAAACTGTGATCTCCGCATCCTTCGGCGCACACGGGAAGGCAGCTTGCACCGGAAGCCTCTCGCTCGTAGCCCTTGTGGCAGATGCACTGATTGGGGCTGCCGCACTCCGCGTTCTTGCCGCAACCCGACGGACACAAAGGATGGCAGTCAGTTCCGCCGTAGCCCTCCTTGCAGCGGCACTCATTTGGAGCTGCACAGAAGCCGTTCGCAGGACAATCTGATGTGCACACGGGTTTGCAGTTGTCGACGGAACCTTTGTAGCCACGACAGCAGGAGTATTTGGTTTCAATTTTCTCGTCCACCTAAGAGCAAGGGAACCTATTATAATAAGATATTTGTATTTCGGAAATCAGTTTGAACATTTTCGTATCTGTAGACTGGGGACCTATAGAAGTGACAAAACCATATCTGGAGGAATCTTTGCAAGTTTGACTCACTACCAAAGTATTCCTTGAAACAAAGAAATCTTAATCAGATTGATAAAGGGGGAAATACACTTGAGATACACTTGAGAAAAGCAGCTCAACTGTCCGATATATTACTCATGTGAGCACATCCGTTACTTCCGTGATAATACAAAGTATTTTAACTCTGTAAACTCTGAACTTATTGCGTATTTACCTAGTCTTGGTGTCAGTATTTAGCCAGAAGTTCTTCTTACCTCATCTTCCCATCCATATTGGGTGCGATATTTTGTCTGCCATCCTCGCCAATAGGAATGTTCCTGGTACGGCACTAGTTTGCTTCTGTAGACTGAACGTGTGTAGGTCACCCAGACCCTGTCGGGACAAACGTTTCGTCCATAGCTCTGGACCACTTCAGAGTGGGCAACTACCAGGAGGATGAGGCCAAGCCACAGTCTGGGAAACTGGGACATTTCGGGGATATTGCTGCGAAAAATAAATATGTTTCCGCCACAGCTATCTTTAAGAGTTCCGCTCAACGTTCCGAATCCAACTGAGCTCTCAGTCTGGAACATTCCCATTGTAGTCTCTCCCTGCATCCGTTGAGCTTGCGATAAACTAGACTTAAGTACTCGCAAATATTAAAGCTTTTGATCAAAAGCAATTTGTATATCCTGGTTTCACATTGACTAGAAAAAGTAGGAACTCAAAAAACTCCTACATTCCTATGGCTTTGAAATCTAAAATTTACCTTTAAAGATCTTCGGTAAGAGATACAAATAGTTTACTGCAACATTTCCCTTTCCTGATGCGCCATAAATTTCGTATTGACAAGTCTTCTTGTTTGGCCTTGATCCCACAAAAATGTTTTGTTTCTTCTTCTTGAGTTACAGATAATTCAATTATTCAAAGGCAGTGCATGACGAAACGCTTATCATGGAAAATATGTTTTGTGCAAGTATTAATGAGCAAAGCTTTTGTGTTCCTATCAATGTAATATCAACATTTAATTTATACTAATTTCTCGTTTGAGGAAATGCACTTTGAAAAATGCATGAACTCTAGACTTTATATATTTAAATGTGATTTCATATAGGGTTTGTTACGATTTACCTTTATTATTATGGTTATCTATCTATGTAATGACGAACTATACTTGACTCAATTGTTAATTGTCAAAATTGCGAACTTTTGAGTGCAATTTAATATCCTTTAAGAATAGGACAAATGATCAGAATCAAATGCAGCCAACTCACGATTTGATTTTCTTTTTAATCATCATTTTTGAGTTGCTTATATGGCATCCTTTAAAAATGAAGTTTATTAACCAATTAAGGAGGAGCTTGAACTGCTGACCGACTAAATTTCGAATGTACCGTAGGATCCTTGGCTAATTTATCGACTTCATTCCCTATTCCATATAGTTGTGAAAGATTTTACAAAGTAAATATAGACACGGAAAATGCATGCACAACAAAGAGATTCAGAAATAGAAATAGAACTGTGTAAAATTGTACAAGAAAGTAATTAATCGCATTTAAACAGATAACAATTCATTTAATGGCACGACAAGCGAAATCGCACAAGACACAAGACTTTGCAATTCAATGTTAAGGATCTCAACTTGCGTGGACTGCACTTGGACTCGAATCGCAATCTCTGGGGCTAATGTTCTCCCTGTCTTGGGTTCATTAAACACATATACCACATGGGTATCTGTCCCACATAAAAGGCGATAGGCGGAGGAAAATACAGAACGATAAGCGGCCAAGTCCGCGTTGCTCCTCCATCGGATTCTTGGAGACAGATCGCTTGATCATTTGCCAAGTGTGATCCCAAGTGAGCAGTCGCCCCCGGTCGTCATGCAAGTATTATTGCCAGGATTACAAAGGACTATGTGGTTCCTTCTAGTGGTATTATTAGCCTGTGTAGGACTGCAGGTTCAAGCCTGTGTGGAGCGCATCCCGTGAGTAGATATTCTTCGGATTTTAAATAGGTTTCCGTTAACGAAGCAAAACCCTTTTGCGAAACTCAAGAACGATGAAAATGCGCGGCACGGTTGTGACAATGCGAAAGAATCAGAATATGGCCAATTGCACTATGAATTGTGGGTCCTTGGTGGGCAGACCTAGAACAGAGGTTAGTAAAGTGAACCAGAGAATAATTTATCTTAATTTTAATCAACAAAATCTACCAAAGCTTTGTGGTATTTTCCACCACCAAATTCCATTCTGGTTAAAGAAGTGAAATAAATGAATAAGGTTTTGAATCGAAATTTCAATCGTGTTTAAAAATCAATGCAAGTATTTTACAAAGTATTTGCATTTAAAAATATCTATTCAAAAATGCTTTACTAATTTTAAATCGGACTAAGTGACGTATTAATTGAATGTAATTTATAATGTTTTAAAATAATCTTAATGAAAATAAAGTACCTCCTTTGATAAGCATTTCAAAATAATACAACTTTACGTTTGTTTCAAGACTAAAAAATTTAAAAAGCTTTCTTTGGACAGTTGTTGTGTTTATTACATTAACTCAAGTATTATTTTTAAAATATTGTTATCAATTAATTTAAAACATTTGGAATAATTACCATACAATCCGTTCGATGGCTTGTTAGAAAAACAAATTAATTAATTTGTTAGGCAAACTAATATGCTAATTTGTGTAAAAATAACAAAATAATGAAGATTTTGTCATAATTTTCATGTTGAATTTATTTTTCTATAACACGTAACGATATTAAAACCATAATCTGAATTGATATTAAACTTTAATAAAATCATTCATCATATAATCGTTGTGATTTGATGTTATCCTTGCCACCTCTATTCCGCAGACTTACATGGGGTACGAAGAAGTTTGCTGCGAAGGCTACTCGCGTACTGAAACAGAGTTAGTATCCTTACAAATAATTATCTGTGGTCAAGTAATGTGTGTCCTTTTATAGTAGTCAGTGCACGCCCGTGTGCAAGGATTGCGGACCTGGAATCTGCCTGGCGCCCAATGAGTGCTTGTGCCGCAAAGGATACTCGAATCGCCGGGATCGCAGTCACTGCGAACCAGAGTGCAGCGAGTCCTGCGAGAATGGAAACTGCGTGGCTCCGGACGAGTGCCAGTGTCTCTCCGGCTACCGGTTTGTGAACGGCTCCAGGACCGTGTGCGAGCCGGTCTGCTTGGAGGACTGCGCCCACGGACATTGTGCGGAGGGTGGAATGTGCGTGTGCAATGTCGGCTACCAGAGGAACGAGAAGCTGAGGAAGTGCGTGCCGATCTGCCAGGACACCTGTCTCCGCGGCGTCTGTGTGGCCCCAAACGAGTGCAAGTGTAATCCCGGCCATGCCCCGCGGCTGGGCCAGCCCTGGAGGTGCGATCCAATCTGCTCGAGCGGCTGCGCCAATGGCAGCTGCTTGGAACCCGAGGAGTGCTACTGCAAGGCCGGTTACAACCACACAGACGGAACCATCGCCTCGGGCTGCCAGCCAATGTGCAAGCCGGGCTGCGTGAATGGAACCTGCATTTCCCCCGGACAATGTGCCTGCTTCGAGGGCCACATCTACGCCGACGGCTCCCGGAATGTGTGCGTTCCCAGCTGCAAGTCCGGCTGCGAGAACGGCTTCTGCAGCTCTCCAGGGAGGTGCGAGTGCCATGGGGGCTTCGTAAAGACCTCCCAGCACCGGTGCTCGCCCACCTGCCAGCCAGTGTGCGGATCCAATGCCCGCTGCATCGCTCCCGACACATGCACCTGCGATCCGGGCTATACCTTTGTCAACGGAAGCTCCACCGAGTGTGAGCCCTACTGCCCGAAGAGCTGCCGTAATGGAATCTGCAGCAGTCCTGGCGTCTGCACCTGTCTGGAGGGTTACACGGTAAGAAATCGGATAATCGTGCTCCACTTGAACATATAGGAATTAGGTCTGAATATAACCCTCATCCATTCCGACCAGGCGCTGCTCGCTTTCTACTGCATCCCCATCTGCTCCAATTCCTGCCTGCACGGCAGCTGCGTGGCGCCCAACGAGTGCCGCTGCTTCACCGGCTACCGACCCAGTTCCACCCTGGGATCGAGTGTCTGCGAACCGATCTGTAGCCAGGACTGCGGGCATGGGCGCTGCATCGCCCCGGATATCTGCAAGTGCGACGTGGGCTATGCGAGGCGCTGGGCTCTGGGCACCTGCGAGCCGCACTGTCCGCAGAAGTGCGTGAACAGCCACTGCGTGGGATCAGGTCTGTGCCGCTGCTACGAGGGCTACAAACTCCGGCCGGGCTCCAGTTCCATCTGCGACCCGGTGTGCTCACCTGGCTGCATCAACGGCACCTGCGTGGAGCCCAACACCTGCGCCTGCCTGGAGGGCTTCGAGGACACCAGGGTGCCGTACCAGTGCGTGCCTACGTGCCGTCCCAGATGCGAGAACGGACAATGCTCAGCCCCGGACACTGTGACTGCGATCCCGGTCACGTGGTGGTCAATGCCAGTGAGCCGAACTTCTGCAGGCCCCAGTGCTCGAAGCAGTGCGTGAATGCCGAGTGCCGGGCGCCGGAGAAGTGCGTCTGCTTGCCCGGCTACCAGATGATGTCCGGCAGCAGCACCGAGTGCCTGCCTGTCTGCTCCAAGGGCTGTCGCTTTGGCCAGATATGCACTGGCCCGGACACGTGCGAGGGAATGGGATCCCTTGTCAGCTCATCCCAGACGGGACACTTGGCCTTCCACTGGACCATGTTTGTGCTGGCCATCCTCCTCTGCCTGGCCCTGGTAATGACGCCCCTCTTGGTCATCCGTGAGCTGCAGCGTCGTCGTCGGGGAGGCGACAAGCTGAGGGCCCACTTAATCGAGAACCCCTCCTACGGGGTTGTGATGGCCAACAGCGAGGAGGCCGCCAATGAGCAGGCAATAGGTTTGGGAGATTAGTCCCGCAGTATCAGGAACCATAGACAACATTTCTCAGCTTCAATTTCCATTAAATTATATGTATTAGATAGTACTTGGAAAACTCTAAAAAGTGAAATATTTAGTACTATTTGGCAGCTCAAATTCATAATTGAAGAGTTTTTCATTCTTTTTCTTCTTGTAAATAAGAAGACCAGCTGAGAAATCTTTATTGGATAACCCATGGCTTTCGCAATCAAAAGACAGTCCGATGTATGTGAATGTTATTTAATTCGAATGTTTATGGCCTGGTTTTGCGTGTAATCTTCTCGTTTCACTCAAGGTATACACCGATGAATGCTTGGCATCATCGAACATAATACACACATGTATAAATAAATCTATATATATATATATTTACGCCTAACATGTACGGTTAAAAGTTAAGAATGCCATCTAATTTAATAAGTTATACATAATACTCTGTGTCAACTTCGGCCAGTTTCCCATGTACAACTTTAAACTCACTATTTCTTCTTATAATTTTGTGAATGAGAAAAGCCAATGGAAATACATCATTAATAAATCATACAAATTATGAGTACTCTTGGACTTTTTCGAGTTGAATTCAATGGAGAAAATCGACTGCAGACTGGTCTCCTTAAAGCTTGTGGGGTTTTGTGAGACTTTTCAATGGTTGACTGGGGATCCTGTTCTTCTCTAGCTTAACAAATTGACTACTTAACGCTAGAAATATATATATATAGCAGATTCCTTTTATGGTTTCCGCATACTTTGTGTCTTACTAGCCTAGGTGTCATATTCTCCCGCCCGCATACAATCTACGAACACAGTCAGCTTTCCTCCTGTTCCCATTACCCTACAGAAAGGTCTCCCTATTGGCTCTGCGCATGCCTCGCCAGCCGTAATCCCACCATCATGGTGGGGCGTCATTGGGATCCGGCGGTGGCTTCGCCGGCTGCAGCACCACTGGTGGTGGTGGTGACGGTGTGGGGGCTGGCGATGTTGGTGCAATGAGGAAGCCGCTGGCGGCTCCTGGCAGTGGCATGCCCAGGAAACTGGGCGCTCCGGTGTTGGCAGAGTCACCGTCCTCCATAATCACCGAACTGTCGGCTGCCGAGGGAATGGTGGGCAAGAATCGCACTCCCAGGCGGGGAGGCGAGGAGTCCTCCTCCTCCTGGACAGCCTCCTGGCGCACTAGTCTCGGCTTAGCCGCATCCAGTTGGGCCTTGCCATTGTGGGCTTTAAAATTCGCATCTTGCAGTTATGGAAAAGGAATCAGAAGTCAAAGTACTCACCTATAATGGAGGGCAGGGGCGTGCTGCTGCCGGCACTCGAGCGGGAGAGACGGAAGGTCGAGGTGCTGGCCGTGGTGGCCGAAGCGGAGGAGTCGTTCCTCGAGCTGGACAAGTTCGAGTCCTGTGACGTCTTGCGGGTTATCAGCCAGGCGGAGTGCCGCCTCCGGCCGTGGCCTCCACCGTGCGGATATCCATGCGGCTCCAGCATCTTCAACGGCATGCTGCAGTTGCCAGGCGGCACGGGGGCCGAGGAGGGTGGCCCATGTCGCCAGCTGGAGGAGCGAGAGCTGCAGAAGTTCTCGCTGGAGATGGAGCTGGCACGGTTCTGGCGCTGCTGGCGCAACTCGGCGAACTGGTACTGGTACGGATTGGCCGCCGCGGCGGTGTAGGCCCTCTGGCGACGTGGCTGAGGCTGGCGTCGCTGCTTGCGGCGCCTCCGACGATCCCCGCAGCAGAAGGACCTCAGACGTTGCCACAGACTTGGCGTCTGCTCCATCTTGTGCCAGTTGGGCATCTCGCTGGGCAGCATCCTCAGGCAGCGGCATCCCGGCGGATGGGCAACGGCCGCAGCGGGCAGCAGGGGCGGCGGCAGTTCACCCCTCTTGCTTCGACCCACCGCTCCTCGAGCTCCGCCCTGTCCGTGTCCACCTCCGCCTCCTCCCACCACTCGGGATTCCTCAAAGTGCTTGCACAGAGTCACGCAATCCTTTTTGAATTGCTTGGTCATAATGGCATAGAGGAAGGGATTGCAGCAGCTATTCAGAGGCAGCACAAACACTGTGAATATCTTGGCCTGCTCCAGGGAGATGAGCTGCAGCCCAAAGATGGCCGTGATGGAGAAGAAGGCTATCGGCGACCAGCAGAGGAAGTCGGTGAAGACCAGGAGGGCCATCCTCTTGGCTATCCTCGAGTCGTTCGTATTCCAGGCCTGGCTACCCCGGATGGCCCAGTACATCTTCAGGTAGCAGCCCATTAGGGTGAGGAAGGCGCAGCCGTTGATGATCATCAGCGAGATGACGTAGGTCAGGCTGGCCGGACCCGTCGTGGTCTCGAAGGGCAGGCACACGGCGAACTTCCTGTAGTCGGAGACCCCCAGCAGGGGCATCAGGGCCATGATCAGAGCAAAGACCCAGCCCACGCTCATGATGTAGCCCGCCTGCCGCAGGGATAACCTCTTGTTGAGGTGAATGGCATGGGTGATGGCATAGTTCCGTTCCAGAGTGATCACCGCAAGCGTGTACACCGACAACTCTGAGCTGAGCACCGCCAGGAAGCCGGACAGCTGGCACAACAACGACATCTGCCATGGAATAGCGAACATTCGGAACTCGCCCAGGGTCGCCGCGTCCACAATGGCCAGGATGCCCAGGTAAATGCCCATGAAGAAGTCGGCAGCCGCCAGGTTGCAGACCAGGAACCGCGGCACATCCATCTTCGAGCGTGAGCATAAGAGCACAAACACCACGGTTCCGTTGCCCAGAAGGGCCAGCAGGAAAACCACCCACACTCCGCAGCGCAGGGTCCACCAATCGAAGAGATCGGCGCAGGGCAGAAAGGGTCCTGGCATCGGCAGGCACTGCACAGAACCTGGCTGAAAGTCCTCGGCGGACATGCCCGAGAAAAGGCCGGTTCCAAAGCCATAGCCTGTGGCAGGACCGCTCACATCGTGCTCCTCGAAGTACTCCTCCATGAAGCTGGTGGCGATTTGACCTCCACTCTGTGACTGCAACTGATCCTCGTTGAAGTTCGCTGCCGCCTCCCAAGGATCATGCATGGTGGCACCCAGTTGCTTACTTAGATTATCTGCAAGGAAATAAAGTGATTGCCATAAACAAGATACTAGTAATGTTCATGATACTCACGCATTTGGGGCCAGATATTCATCATGCTGTTGTTCCAGAGCGTCATATCGAACTCGGCGTCGGAGGGAAAGAGCACTGCCTCCTGAACCTGGGAGGTTTTCCTCTGGGAGGACATTGCCACCAGAGGCAGGAAGGCGCAACAGTGGTAGGCATACGAGAGGATCAGCGTCTGAATACGTGGAAAGGTGTCCGGTGGTGGGAACTCCCTCAGTTTTGGATTGTTAAAGGTTTTCAGGTGAAGCAGTGCCCTCAGTCCCGATTCGGGTAGCTCGGGAAACACGTTGTTTCCCAAATTGAGATCCTCAAGTGCTGTGAAACCAGCAAAGGCTTCCTTGTGAATGTAGGAGATTTCATTCCCCTCCAAGTCACTGCAAGTAACAAACACTGAAGTTTTTTTTGTATAGTATTCGATGGATAATCACGCACAGTAGCTGGAGTTTGGGTATGCCATGAAAGGCGTCTTGAGGCAAAGCCTTGATGCGATTATACGAGAGCAACAAATCGTGCAACTGCTTCAGGCCGCTGAAAGGCTTCCCATGAATCGTCTCAATTTGATTGCTGGATAGATCTCTGAGTAGATAGATTGTATATATATTTACTGACCAAGAAATTATGAGGTTTATTGATACTCACAACAGCCTTAAGTCTCTGCAGCTACTTAAATTTGGGATGCTTTTCAGGGAATTGGTTTTAAGTTCTCTGTGAGTAAAAGAAAACCAATTAGTTTTATATTAAAGAGTATTATTTCGAAAAGGATTTCAACGTACAAACTCTTCAGTCTTGGTGTTTGACGGCATAAATTCACTGGCACCTCCTGAATGCCGGCACGATCCAGTTTGAGTATTTCCAGGGCATGGCAGGCCTCGAGCTCTGGAAACGAGCGCAAAGTTCGCACATCCGATAGAGTCCTGGTGAAAAGGTGCTTTAGTATCAGAAGTAGAGCTCCTTGACCCACTGAGCTGTGGGAAATAGGGTCTCAAATCTGGGAACTAAGAGATACTCACAGCTTCCGCAGCTTGGTCATTCCTCGAAAGGCTCCGGTGGAGATGGTCGACAGGGGATTGGCCCTCATGTCCAGCATTTGCATGCTCCTCGGTAGCTCCGTGTCGTTTATCCATCTCAGGCGATTGCTGGTGATGGAACTGGAGGAAATGGAAAGGGAAAAGCGGGTGAAGAAAGCTTAATAAAATCGTTTACCCGATGCCAAGAAAAGTATCTTTCGGATGCACACTGCTGGCAAGTGGCACTCGGATGCAGCTGCATTTAAAAGTCAAGTCTCACAAACACGCCGACAAAGCCAAAAGTAAACTGTGACACGAGCACACTTTTGGGCGCTCATATTGTTAACGTCTTTTGGTTTTTCTTGGCACACATTTTGGGGGGAGATGTGAAAATGCAACTGCGCAGAACGAATCTAATATCAATATCAAATGCATCCAAACGACTCTACATTTACCATTCACTTTTGATTTAAGAATTGAATTTATTGCGAATTAGGATTGGATTGAACGCAGTTGAATAACAAGAAAAACGAAACTGTAACCTCGCCGCAAACAATATCATTCTGTTTATCTCGCCAAGTTTGTGGCATCGACTTGGACTGACTGCCATTCATTTCCGAGCAAAGTCAACAGAACGCAGACACTTACTTAGGGTTCTTAATCCTTTTAAATTTAATTTTTTGTTTGTGCCAGTCACACACACACATGGCGAAGGAAACGGACGGATTTTGCCCCTTCTCTCTGTACAAATTCACTCTGCAGCATAATACCCCAATCATGGATGCAGTGGCTCCGCAGATGCAGCACAGCGTGGCTTTTATCGCAACATTTAACATGCTCATAATTATCCTGTTTACCAG